TCTTCACTGTCGTTCCACCTCCCATCTCTACACTCAATTTCAGGCGCCATAATGCCCAAACACGAGCCTGACTTTTGCCTTTAAGCCTTTTTTGATGCCTGCTGTAACTGTGGAAGCTGAATGGACGTGGGTTTTAAGAGCAAATTGACTACTGAATATACCTGAAGATCCGAATTGCTATTAATGGATAGTGCCTGCATTAGCCTATGTTTAACAGAAATCAATAGTCTTTCTATCAGTGTTTCTAAGATGCAAACTAAAATCAATACGAACTACTCTGCGGTTGTCAATCATTGGGCTCAGCACGTAACCTCATCCTTAGATTGTGAATCAGCTGTTTTGCGGATGAGATATCTTAATTTTAGCGTTTTTAGGCAATTTCAATTTTTCCGTCACTGTCAGTTCACTTGATTCTTACGTCCCTTTTCGAGCATAATCGTGAAACGGGCCTCCAAAACTGATTTCACTAGAACTTTTCATTTTCTCCTGTAATGACTGTTTTGCTAGTGAGAACACATGTTCCTTGAAATGATGCTATACCTGCTGGAAGTGCCCATCACTTATCGAAAATTGGCTGCTCATTCGAGTTTCATTTGAACCGTCTCCCCGAAGTCTTATTGTTCAGTGAATCACAAATCAAAAATAATCCCTACGAGAGAATGGGTGTGGACATTCAGCAAGAGAATTGAGTTGGAGATGCGAAGTGGACTGCCAGTGAAGGGAAAGTGAAGAGAAGAAATAGCCGAAAACGACTGAAAATGAAGATTTTCTTTCCCTTCATGGGTGTCTCCAGTCAGATAGAGACGGACTGTCATACTGCATTAATGGCACAGCTCTACCTATCTGAATCACTTTCAGGGAAAGCTTGAGGGAAGTTTCAAATAAATTGACAATCATACCCATTTTCAAACGGGCATATTTTTCCGGGGAAAACGAATCACAAAAAAAGGTTGGGAAGTCTCTCGACTTGTTGCCATGCGCTGCCTTAAAGCAACAGTCCCAGCAGGGTGGGCGTGGTCGGAAACGGCTGCAATCCCCTCGGCCGATTCCCACTTCGGAGCTGTTCAGCCCCTAGTCAAGAACGTAAGAAGTGTGACTGAACAAAAACTCACCTTGGAAAGCCGCTAGGGAGGGAGCTGAAGTGGGCGTGGTCGGAATCGGCCGAGGGGATTGCAGTCGTTTCCGACCACGCCCACCCTGCTGGGACTGTTGCTTTAACTCTGCCCGACCTACCTTCGACCGTCCATGGAGTGTGGTTTTCGTGAGTTTTTTCCTAGAACTGAATCTTCATGCGGGAAACTTTGTATGGTGTTACAACTGTTATGTTCATGTTGGGAAATAATGCAGAATTTTCCGGGAAAAATACCTTTAATGCATTCCTTTAGCGAATTGAGAAATTAAGCGATTTCAAACGACATTATTTGAAACCTGCTGAGAATTTATGGCGAGAAAAACGAAAAATGTAAAAATGAAAAGGATAAAATTAATATAAAGCCGTTTTTTCACGATCATATTCCTCTATTCGTGCTCCAACTACGTTGCATTCAACTTACAAATTGGATAGCAATTTAAGCGTTTCCCCATTCAGTGGTAGAAGTTTGACGTTTATCGTTTCAGAGTATTACAGTTGGAGCACGGATTAAGCATCTGAGATGAATGGCCCTACTCAGGGGCCCAATTCAACAAAAAATGACGAGAATTAGCGCTAAAACGTTTTATCAACACCGATGGAGAAGACAATTAACCTTGAGAAGATTACTGAGGGAATCCGAAAGCTTATCACGACACAATGAACAAAAGAACTCGAACAAGTGTTTAAGTTTTTTTTTTCGAACAAAAAAGTTTGGAAACACGATTTCTACTGCTTGGATCGTACGGATTCATAGCAATACCACATCAAGGGAGCTCTCGAAAGTGAGGGATGTTGTGAGTGGGAGTGGTTGATAGAGAACCGCATTAAGTATGCATCATTCAGGTACTGGTATGAACAGCAAGTGCTATCATAGATCGTCATTGCACTAGGAGTGCAGTTTACAACGGTGAACGAAGAGAAACAGAGAGCGTGTTCAAGGGTACATAGAGCAGTCTTAATGCTTCCTTCAGACCTTACCCATTCGGAGCTGCACGTAATTCTCCTGACAGGCTAATCCTCAGATGTGTTTGGTTTCTCGGTCGGACGTACCCCAAGAAATTGCGAGGTCCATATCATTATTAAAAGAGACATGCATTAGTTTTGCGAATAAAGAAACAAATGAATTCAGATACTTCTTGGTAAAGGTGAGGGGGGAGGGGGCGACGTCGGCAAAATGCACCGCGAGACTGGAAGGAGAAAAAACTTATGAGTGCATTTGAGAATTAGCCACTCTCTCCAGTCGGAACGCCGTTCGACTCCCAGCGCCATCGATTTTTTTTTGTTGTGATGTTTTCAATGGCAAGAGTAAAGCTGTCTTTCAGAAGGAGGAAAATAAATTCGCTAAAATAACTAATCAAAAGGAAAAAATGGAAATAAATCCGGCAAATAATACCGGTGTAATGAAAAACTCCCACTAATTCCCATTATCGTAGCAGGAACGCAGGACGACGAAATGTTTAGGGATCTTGAAGGTTCTTTGTTCAGCCTCCAAAGCTTGATATAAGCCTTGTGCAACTAATATTCCGGCAGCAATCGCCTTTCTTGAAGTCTCAGGCACAGTAAGCCTATCACGTGGACTACCTAGCGGCAGGATCCACCTACTCTTCGGAGGTTGAAGAGGGAATTATAACTAGTGGAAAGACTGGCGGACCATGGATAGGGTTTCGCAGCGAAGGGCATGCCCTCAGCAGCCTAGCATGGCTATACTTGCGCCGCTCGTGTCGCTGCCCGCCCAGCCACTCGTCGTCTACCTCTGGCCGCTCTAGCAGAGCGAGTGTTGATGAGGCCAGCATGGATTAGACATGCCTAACGGGCAGATAAATGAGCAGAAAGAGGTCCCATTTTCTGGTTTCTCACTTTTTTCCTTCTACCTGCACTGGTGAATACGTGTACCTTGATTTCTGTGAGCTGTCTCTTCATCGTAAACTCTGCCTTTAATTTGGAGAATAGTAAGTGGAGCAAAATTGAGAACAGCTCGATACGCTTCGAAATTCAGAAGTCGAAATTTTGTTTTACATTACTATTATTTTTGTTTATTATATTTTAGTATTTATTTATTTTATTCTATTATTTTATTTATTTATATATTTTTTATTTTATTATTATATTTTGTTTATTTTATTATTTTTTATCTGAATTAAATCCCCCGTACATAGCGTTGTTTAGGCTTATTTTGAAGGCCTATTTCTTTTCGGTCTCAAATGTCATATTCAAGGAATCAAGTTCGTGGGAGTGTGCTGTCGAAAACACTATGCTGACTAACTTTTCATGATTCCATGATCTCAATCATTGACAAATGTAACACCATGCTTATAAGCGCAATGACGCAAATCCCCTTCTTGAGTTTCCTAAAGAACGGAAAGCAAAAATCTCGGAATTATTTTGACACGCCTTGGTTGCGTGTCATCGCACGCGCCATCCCCCTTCATCTGACGGCTCGAATATATACAACAGAAGGCAAATCTCAACCCTTACCTGATTTATAATATGAGTGACATATAGTTCCATGATTTTCGTTTGCTACGTCATGCTAATATTTGTTTCTACCGAGATAATGTTTTGTCCTCATCATTTTGGCCTACCGTGTAGATATACCTAGTAAGTCGGCGGACTCTTCAAATCCAGAGTTTATTATGAAAAGCACCCCATTAGAAATCAAGGAAGAGGTGCTCAGTGGTACAGGGATGAGTAAAAATCTACACCCCGGCATCCAAGAAAAGGAACCGCTCACAGCTAGTTTATTCTCGCATTTATACGATACTCATCGGTTCCGCCCTCTTCAACACTAACGCCTCTCTGCTGAGCGGTTATAGTCAGACGAAGAGCTGTTACCAATCGGCGAGCGTGTAGAGGCGCGAGCCGCAGCCGTGCGTGCGGCCCTACTAGGCCACTGGGCGCATGCTCTTCGCTTGGAAACGCGAATGTCTTGCACTCTCAGTGGGGCGGTCTGCCTTCGGCTAGATGTTCCCCTTCTTCCGCGTCCGGCTATTGTAGAATCCCCTTTTAAGCAAGACGATGCGCGTTTTGCAGAGTCAGAGCTCGTTTCGGGTATATCCCTAGCGGCTTAGCAGAGACGTTTGCAACGCTACACGCCCTACAACTGGCCTTCATGTCGGCATTGAACTCTAGTCGCGGATACTAGCCGCTAAAGGCAAGATTCAGGATTAAATTATGAGGTAATTCCACTCAAATGTGAAAGTAGGGGTAGGAAGTGGACCGCCAGTGGAGAAAAAGGAAAAAAATCGTGAAATACACAGGAAATACGAGCCTTTTGCTCTACGCTGCGGAGAAGTTCAAAAGGCCGGCAGGGAGATGAGAGATAATGTGAGCGCGGAGAGCGCTAGAGAAGTCGAGTAGAGAGAGCATAGCAGATCAAAGCGACGCAGACAAGATATCGAGCGGTGGGCGGAGCGTGTCGGTGGAGCGTGTCAAAGTTCTTAGCGCCTAGCGTCTAAATAACGCTTTTCGAAGTAGGGAAGTGACGCGACCTCTACACTTGCGTACCTAGCGCTTCTAGCCACCGTAAAGGCTCATTAAGTGGGTCTGAGCCCGAACTTTGCCTTTAAAAAGAGACGCAAAGCAAACGTTTATGTTGATGACGTAAGCACCGATGGGAATGTCCTAATGCGGCAATAACGGGCAGAAAGATGTCTCATTTCCCGTGTTTGGGCCGTGATTTGGTTTCTCTTCATCCCTGCATCACTGACCACCCTATTTCGATGTCTAATGGGTTGTCTTTACATTGTAGATTGCGCCTTTGAATAAGTACAGCGTACATATAAATAATTTATTTATTTCCTATATGAAGCAAAACAAAACTATCTGCAACCGAAGTAACGAAACCGAAAACAATTTGTCACGAAAAACACTAGTCATCTTTATATTTCTCAAAATATGTAAGCAACTCTTCCATATCCAACTTGCTTCCCAAGTAGATGACGCCTCTTTCGTGAATATCCTTGGGGACGTTATCGAGAACAGGTCCCTGAAAGTAATACATTCAGCAAATCATGCTCGTTATCAATCGTATAAGTTCAGCATATCAGTAGGTCTTCGCGACCACAACTGCCAGAATCGAATCCCACCCAACACAGCTGTACAAACCATCAAACCCTGCAGAGTGAAATAATTTGGCACGAAAATTGCTTTTTTTCTAAAGTACTGGCATGGACATGACTTCCCACGCAGCGTTTTTAGAAAAAAAAAACAAGTGTGGTGCCAAGCTATTATACATTCTACAGGATTTGATAGGTTGTTCAGCTGTTTTGGGCGGAACTCGATCCTCTACTTGTGATTGCGAATTTCCACTGATATGCTGAACGTCCAAGGCGTGGCACATAAAAACGGGCTCATAGATGCTGACACTCCATTACTATTTAAAGGCAAAAGTCGGGCTCAATAAGGGGGTATTATGGCGATTGAAACTGAGTATAGAGATGCGAAGTGGAACGACAGTGGAGAAAAAACTGAGAAAAACCGTCGACAAGGCCGTTAACAAAACCCTCTTTCCCACTAGCAGTGAAGGAGGCTGGCTTGGGAAAGAGGCACGTACAAACAAGTTTTCTGGAGATGTCAGTCGTTCTATCGGTTGATACGGCAATCAACCTAGCTGATTTCACACGTTATGCCAGCCACGCACCACGAGGTGGGCGGTCGTAGCGGGGCTAGGCGGCGATAGCGCATAGTACGTGCCCTGGGCCTTATTACGGCGCCGTTTGAGGATTCTGAGCATGGTAACGTCTCTGTGGGTGCGTAGCCATGCACAAAGACGACAAAAGGGATTGGTTTGGTCCACTAAGCCTGACTCGTGCCTTTAAGTAATGTATGTTCCCTATTGTTGTGCTACTTTCGCCTTACCTTGCCGGTGCTTGCGATGCCTCCAGCGTGTTCGACGAGGTAGGCCATTGGTGCGCACTCGTATAGGTAACGAAGCTGTAAAGTTAGGGTTCAATAAAACACGAATAAGTAAAACCTTGAGCGTGTGAAAATTGTCGACCTTCCCTTGCGGAGCATCACCGGTAGGTGGGTAAAGGAAAATGCCACCATTCAAGATAGTACGATGAACGTCTGCCACCATGGACCCGACGTAACGTTGAACCATTCCTTTTTGTCCCGGCTAAAATCATGAAGATTTCATACTAACAATCAGATTTATTGTGATTCATATAAATTATTACTATTATACATTTACGGAGGAATTTGAAACAAAAAGAAAAAAAGGTAGAAGGAAAAAGGAATCTTAAATCTATGTATATTATAAAATCGAGTACATATCGTATCCACGACGGGGTGAATCGTCCTCATTGCGATTCCGAAAATTTGGCGACCACCTCTTCCAGGGGGTCTCGACACGACCCTTCCCCCCCTCCACCCCATCATGGCTGTTTCTATCGTGTTTGATTCTGAGACCAGTTAACTCGCACCAACTCCGCTCACCTTGCCTTTCCAGAACAAGTCATCGATGGTGGGTGTAAATATTCTTGAAAAACGACAATGTTCTGACTTTGGCAAATCTGTGAAGCTTTCGCCAAAAATCGTCAAAAAATCCGTTAAGCGCGGCCCTCCCACGATCCCCTCAACTTCCAAATATACAACCCCTTTTCAACTTCCCACCCTCGCTAACCCCAAATACCCTCTCCTCTGCAAGACAAAAACGACCACATGTTTAGAACTGCGCAACGCACGGACCTCATGTGGAGCTAAATATAAAGATTCATGTAGTCATCCCGAAGTTGGGCTTGTACTAGAGATTTTACAAGGTTTTCGCAGTATGGAAACGCTGGTACTTTGTAGATGGTGTTGCCAAAAGCCCAGAAACGTATTTCACAAGAATGCTGTGTTGTGGGCAAAACTTACGCCCCATGCGGGATTAGAACCTCTACCTCTTTCTTTCCGGGCAATTGCGCTACCAGTTACCCTACCGGGGCACCATTTCACTTCCAACTCAGCTCTGATAGTACAGGGGGGGGGGGCAAAAAAAGAGTCACTTCCCTCCACATTCAATACCCAATTAATTACGAACTGCGAAACCAAATCGAAATGAGCCCAATTGCATATTAAAGAGCACATTCTAATCTATCAAAAGGTTACATGACAGCCTTCTACACCGACGACATCAGAAGATTTTCCCACGGAAACATGGTTCACGGTACGAGCTCAACGAGGTCGTCGAGGTACCATAGACCATTACGACGTCCCTGAAACGCTGGTCAAAAGCGGTCTTGCACAGTCACAGCTAGTGTCTCTGGAATTAACCGATTAAGAAATTATGTAGCAGCTT